GCTGCTGGAACGAATTAATTTCGTAAGTAGAGGTACCACTGTATTCAGGAAGTCTTCTAGATCCATTAGCTTGTTGAAAATTATATACTATAATTACACTTCCTTTTCTCCAATTCAGACCAATGTGTACATAAGGTGGAAAAATAACAGCCAAAATTTTCACATTAATGAGCAGACAGGGGGATTGTCTTTAGAAAGACTGATGTGGACAGGGTTGGGGGAATGAAGAGCATGGAATTAGGTCAACAGGGTGGGTGAACAGCAGTTGTAGCAGCAATGAATTATCTAATTCCCAATCATGGGAGAAAAGCGGAATACTACTGCTGCTACTGCTACTGCTACTACTACTACTAATAATAATAATAATAATAATAATTTGCTTCCAACCTAGACTCTTCTAAATATGCTTCTGGCAGTCTTTCCTTTTGCCAGATTCATTCTGAACTCCAGGAGCCAACTTGTCACTTAGTAAACTTTTCCTTTTGAATAACATGGTATGAGACATTTGTAACTAGAATCAGCATATTTCTCATCATGATGAGAAAAGACTGTATTGCAGATGAATGTTTGAAATAAGGCAGCCCATATTAAAAAGACATTTCAGGCTATGAATGTGAACTTCATTTCTATGTTACTACACTATTGTCTTAACTTTCTATCTGTTCAGCGATGAAGCAGAACAAGTGTGGGTTTGGGAATACGAAACTGAAGAAGGAGCCCATGACTTGTATATGGATACAGGAGAGGAAATCCGTTTCCGCGTAGTAGATGAAACCTTCATTGACACATCCCCAACAGGCCCCAGCTCTGCAGAACCCTCTACCTCAAGTGCCACAGAGGAGGTACAGAAGAAAGAGGCCCCCTATACACTTGTGGTAATTATTTAATATTGCTTCCTTTTCTACATAGCCATTTGAAATGCACCTTGACCAGAGAGCTTGAGATTGAATTTTGAATGAACATACTTGTTGTAATTTAGTATAGTCTTTAATCAAACTCTTGAGTTTAAATAAGGGTATAGACCACAGTATGTACTTGATGTAAGCATACATATTACTCTTTCAATCAATTACAGTTGTAAGAAACATTCCAAGTCATCTCAGAATATAAAACTCAGAAATGAGATAATACGTTCCACAAATATAAAATGGATAATCCAAGTGATCATTGTTCAAAATCTCATTTGTTTTCTTTTTTCTGCACAGGGATCTATCAGTGAGCCTGGTCTAGGCCTCCTATCATGGTGGACAAATAGTTAGCTAAAGAAAGAAAGACTGGCAAGACTGTTCTTCATTGCAAAAGACTGCTCTTTTGAACCGCAGTTGCAAAAAAAAAGGAGTGTTTTCCTGTTTTCTGCTTTGCACCTGACCTACTCCAGTCTGGTCTAGGCCTAGCAAATAAGTGGAAACATTCAGTAATTATCACAGAATAATTGAAGACATCAACATCAACATGGGAAGATCTGAGCCCTCTACCTGTTAGAACTGGTTATGTTTAGAAGAGTGGTTTACTGACCTTGCATTTTAGAATGGATGCAAGAAAATTTTTGAAGATCACTTACCTAATTAAGAGGTGGGGAGGAATAATGTTGTAAAAGCAAGCACCCATGTTATTCTTTCTCCATTGAGATGGGGTTGCTTCCAACAGTAGTGGAGGAAATGAATGAGCTGGCTGTTCAAGACTAGTAAATTGTGGGGAGGAAGACAGGCCAGGCTTGGGAAAGGTAAGGATTTCCATTATCAAGACTGTCATTCAGTTCTCTGTTGGATCCTCCTGGATGAATTAGAAACTGTTGCTTAAGTACCAGCAAAATGAGCGGGCTGCTACTGGAAAAATGGTCTTAAGAACTGTGGTTAATAAGTCTGAACAAGAGCGCAATCAATTACTCTTCCTATTGTCTGTTCTTTTAGTTTAGATAGCTCATCTGTAACTCCACAGAGAAGCTAAAGCGGTGCTGAAAGCATCTGGTAGACTGAGAGCAAACCTCAGTTTCAGACCAAACAAATGGACCTGCCATTGAGCAACAAATCTCTAAAACTTGCTTAGGCACATGTTCTCATTTTATAATAGAGATTTTTGCATTGCATATTAAATATAAATGCAGACATTGACCATATCCATTCAGTTTCTGGGTTTTGAATGCATCTTGATAATAAATGTGAGTTATTCCTTGTCTAAGAAAACACTGTGAAATTCATGAGGTTACCATAAGTTGACAGGTGGCTTAAAGGCATGTGCGTACACACACACATTAACCACAAAGGAACAAAATCAGACTACAAAGTTGAAGCATAGCTGTAACATCAGGAGTACTATAATTGATAAAAGACTGCTAGATAACCTGTGACAGAATTGCAACTCTTCAGGCTAAAGATAGTTTGGAATATGCATGTAATTTACCAGAGCCTATTATAGCAGGCCCTTGGTGTCTACTGGGGTTTGATTCCAAGACTCTCCATGGATACCAACATCTGTGGATGCTTAAATCTCATTATATAAATGGTGTCGTGAAATGGTGTCCCTTAAAAAAAAGGCAAAGTCAAGGTTTGGTTTTTGAAATTTTGGGGTGAATATTTTCAATCCGTGGATGCAGAATCGTAGATAGAGGTCTGACTGTATTTCATGCATGATAACATCTTTGAAGGTTTTGTGCACCTTAGGGAGGTTGAAGGACAGCTCTACTTTTAGTAGTGATAAGTATTTGCTCTGAACTACTACTAACCAGCTGTGGTTTGCCATCTAATGTTGGTAATACAGTAGTACAATATTAGAAGGGCAGCTTTGATTGAAGGACAATCAGGTTAACTGTGTAATATGTGGAAATGCTGCCATTCTTTATTGATTATTAACAAAAGCATCTTACTGTAGCAGGCTCTAATAAACTTTAAACATTACTTTTCCCCCTTTATTTTCACTATGAAGTATGCTTAAAAGCATACAAGAGAGTGTGGTATAATGGTTTGAGTGTTGGACTACAACTCTGGAGACCAGCGTTCAAATCCCTGCTCAATCATGGAACTACACTAGGTCACTTTGGGCAAAGCACACTCTCTTGGCCTCAGAGGAAGGCAAAGGCAATCCCCCCTCTGAACAAATCTTGCCAAGAAAACTTTGTGATTTGCCTTAGAGTCACTAGAAGTCAGAAACTGTAAAGGAACACAACAATGCTTAAAAGGGTAGGGTTAATTACATTGCAAAATTGTACTGTAGTAAGTTAGTAAATAATTCTATAACTGAAATAAAGGAATAGAATTGTAAGCATAAATTTAAAATAATAAGTTTGTACCACAGAGGTAAACTCGAACCAGGCAACTCTTTTTAGGGTGCAGTTTCACAACAGGGTAGCTGCCACAGAGTGAAATACTCTTGCTTCATTCTCAATTATCAGATCCATAGGTTCATCTTTTGGTATTCTACTTCTTGCTTGTATAGTTCTATAGAAAGCTAGTTACCACTATTAGAAAACATTCTGCAGATAACTTACTTGAGCAGAATATTTATGCTTTCTGTTGAAATATTCTGCCTAATTTCCTCACTAAAGTGACTTAAAAGGCTATTTTGCTGAGAATGACATGGTTATATATTGCATTTTTATTATGAAATATACTAAATAATTTTTTCCCACCATGCTGGAAAATATGTATAAAAAGCCAGATAAAAATTCTTTAATTACATCACCATGTTACCCAGTCTTTCATATATAGCTCCATTCCATATGCAATGATTGAATAAATGTACAAATTGGTAGGAGAATGCCATTGTCTCATGACCAAACCTGTGTTTTCTGAGCAACAAAAATCTCCAAAAAAGTTCTTGGTCTCAATGCTACAACTATGAAGGTACAGCCTCAGAAGAACACCACAGTATTTTGCCGCAGCTCTCATTTTGTAGTCCGTGTTCCCATTTTTATAATAAATAATTGAATATTTTTTTTTTCTGAAAGACTTGTACTCGGAAGATTTGATAGCATGCAATTGGGACATTTTTTATTTATTCTAATACAGTTAAATATGCCACAAAGAATTATCCCATCCTCGAATTACAACTTTAAGCTAAGTGATGGATTAATCACCTGCCTACCTTGCTTTATTTTAAGTACATCTGTGTCAGAACTGGCCATTCTGGGTTGATTTCTACATATGTTTTCTACACTAGAAATACTGAAGTTTGACACCACTTAAAGTGCTGTAAATGTCATTCAAAGTTTCTGGGAAGGGTGAGGAGGACGACTTGCCCCCTCGATCCATGTCCATCTTGGCTGGTCATCCAGGGGTGGACGTGTTGAAAGTGTTCCTTCGGGACATAATCAACGCGTCCTTCAGGGAAAGTACTGTACCATCCTATCTGAAAGAGGCAGCAGTTAGGCCTCTCCTGAAAAAAACTTCCCTGGCCCCCCTGGATAGAAATAATTACAGACCAGTCTCCTTGCTCCCTTTCTT